TTGCAGGGTGATATAGCTGCTGATGCATAATATTGATACAAGAAAGTTCAAGAGACGAATAAATTCAATCTTAACGGGGTTCACAAACGAGGACAGCAATGTCCCTGAGGTTTCCATAGTGGGGTTAATAAAAGTTTTTCCTGTCTCACCTTGGAATGAGCCCTTCATCCCTTGTTAATTGCGAGCCTGTATTGAATAGCTTATGCAACGCCCTGTCTCTTAACAGCTTGTGGCATAATGCGCAGCAAGCTACAGTATAAAACAGTTTGGTGCAAAAGAAGCACACCCTTTAAATGTATTCAACAAATAACAGCTGCAATTATTCAAATAAAATCCATAACTAAATGTGGCATAAAATGCACAAATCACAAAACAAGCCAGATAACTCCATAACATTTTAAAATAGTATGTTAAATAATACCATCACTTGACTGCGATCAGCGGTCAATTTGAAGCAATTCTTCCGCACGGTCTAGTAGTCGATTTGCGGCGCGTTGGCAAACGAAAATGAAAATGAAGATTTCATGCTTTCACACTCACCTGCCAGCAGTCCGTGAACAGGGAAGCAATAGTGCCACCAACCGCAAAGGCGCCACATAGAACAGAAACTAGATTCAACACACTGGCCATTGCTGTGCAGGGGCGACTGGAACCGCGTTACACCGGGCAGGATCTACATCGGCAGCACCTTGTCCGCCTGTCTATATAGAATATTTAAGATGCACCAGTCTCCTAAGAAAGCAAAGTGATTTAAGCCGCCTGTGACCTGACTGACACTTGACATTCTCTTCACAGCAGGATTGTTTCCAGTACAGTTCTTTATCGAAAGGCAAAAGCAGAGATTTGCTTTTCAAAACGAAGCGTGAATACAGTTCACGGGGTTTTTTTTTATTTTCTCGCGGAGCAGCGGGCGAAGTTAAAAACATATTTATTTAAAACCATTTAAAGAAAGGGAATGCAATTTAATGAAACGTTTATATTAGAAACGTGCTCCTTAACAGATTAGTGTTTTGCGAAATGTCAGCCTGAACGAATTGAGGATATTGAAGCCGGACTGCTGTGCGAAACAGGCTCGCCTTCGGCTGTAAAGCAACATAAGATTAGAATCGTGGGTGTGTAATAAGAGTATAACTGCAAATAGCCTGCATTTCTACTAAAATGCAATGTCAAATATTCCTAGTATATTTCTCCTATGAAAGTGGGTACTATCATTCAGTTTTATTTAATTTTGTCAGCTCCTAATCGTGTTAAGCGTTATATCAAAGACTTTACCTCTTACTAAAATAACCTGTAAAATACCTATAGTTTTCTAAGGAAATCAAAGCCATTGTACAATTCTACAGTATAGCCACTTTTAGTTTTCCCATTATGTATAATCTTTATAAAAAGTTACACCAACGCACAAAACTGCATTGAGGTTCGTGAGAACAAGTTTCAAAATTCGTTCACATTATTAAATCATGACCGTTAAAACTTATATAATATTTTGAACACCCAGGCGTAGACGCGGGGACAATTTCAAATAATCGGAGGAAAGCAAATAAAAAAATATTCAGGTGTGACGCAGATTCTCATTAGAGTGATAATTCAATGTAAAACGATCGATGAAAAATAGGTCAGATGAAAAAAGATTTTCGCGGGGCATTAAATGCGCCTAAAGACGATGTCGTATTTGATCACTCCACTCTAGTCGTGTTGTTTCGTGGTACACCATGACACCGGCAGGTGGCGGACAAAGACAAACGAGTCGCAGGAATATCTCACGCGTAGTCTTATCGTTGTATGTGAAGTAGAAAATAACATCGTTTGCAGTGAAAAATCTCAATGTAATCCAGATCCTGGTCTTTCGGTTTTCTTTCGGTATCATTTTAGGTAATCGTAATTGTTAATCGTTCATTATTTTAATAATTATGAAACATCACCAGCACGCTCATTGACTGGACTGATTCAATACTGAATAGTATAAAAATAATAAATATGTAATAACTAAGGCCTACCTGGTGTTTATAATAAACTAAATTGTGTACCTCACCAAATGCCAACAAGACCATTTTAAACTTACGTTTTAGCTTTCAAGTGTAACCCTTATTCTGCTCCTTACTTTAATTGGAACATCAGCTTTGGAAGCGTCACCTTCAAAGGATGACTGTAAATGATAACACTGGTAAGACTATAACCAAAGTCAAAGTTTAATATTCGTTATGTACTCTGTACTACACCGATTACAGGTCTCGGTTCACTCTTTGGGGTGATTCTCCCGAGGCTGGTGGTGTTTTATTCGTGCTCTGTTCCCCACGGGCTGAGGGATACGGATCTTCATTAGCCCTCCCGTCGAGCATGTGTCCGCTGGTCGTGTTCGGCACCGCCCGCGATCGCCTTATGACAACTCGACCCCTATTCTTCAGGGTTGATCAAAATCTATACAGAATGCCATTAAGGCGAGGCCGGGTCTGTTCAACACAGACGCGGAGATGAAGTGACTGCTGGTGCTCTTTCCGCTCGAGCGGGTTTTGACGGGGGGGTGTCCCGCGACATCTGGGCTGGCTCGTGCCTGGCGCGTGCACGGTGTCGCCTGCCTCCACAATATGCTCATTCATTCCAGCCGAAATCCACACCACGCTGACAGAGCGGGGAGCCGTGGGAACGCAGTTACACCCGCTTTCGCAGTCACGTCTTGGGCGCTACTATTGTGTGCGAAGAACCCTTTCTTAGTGACGCAGTATGCAGTAGGGGCACAATTCATTTCTTGCCGAGAACAAAAAAAATCAAGGATTTTTCTCATTGGCTTATTTTAAATCAAAACACCAGGATGACCTTTATAGCCATTGGACCCGTTTGTAACACGGAACTGAAATCTATTTTATGAAGCGCTGTTGCACCCCCCCGGTCAGTTGCTTGTTTGCATTCACGTATTTACAGTGCATGATCTTAAGATCAGTTTATTCTGAGAGGGTCTGCGCATATCTAAATAAATAAAGGCACCGAACTTTCATAGCAGAGGAAAAAAACAAACAGGCGCCACTTTTTAACGATAACTCCCAAACTGTTTTTTTGGGGGTGATATCACCACCACGCGTCAGAAGCGTGTCGGTTATTCAAATGAACCCCTGTCATATTCAAATTTCATTAGACAGTTGCAGTTTCGTCGTAAACATCTGCTGCAGAGAATTCGAATCCAAAATAATGTATACCCCGTTCGGGAGCTGTTGTCTTTTTACACAAAGGGTACAACAGAAGCCAGAATATGGAACATGATTTTGATATCAGAAGGACAGTAATATTTTGTATATAGAAAATACAAGAATATATTCCAAAGTAGAATGTTTTATTTCCAATCTTGTACTTTTTCTCTGACCCAGTGCGAGTTCTGCCAAGGGCTCAGTAGGCTGTAACGACCGGCTGCTGTCCAGGGCTCTGTCCGAGGTGCTGAAATCGGTCTCCGCGACACACAAGCAGCGTCGAACACATCCTGTACTTGATCCCAGTTTGGGGGATGATATCTTGATGGGTAACGCTTTTTACGTTTTGGAGTGGATTTTAAAACTTTAATACACACACACACACAGTAAAATTAAATAAGGCAAGAAGAAAATAAAACTGACGACCCAGCGTTGAGCTGGTTTAGATCTGGACGCGCTTCTACAAATCGGCGCGGGGGTGAACAGTGACTTCATCTGCGCTGTTTCATACTGATTCTTGTTTGATTATGATTAAAAGTGTGTTTGCAGACACCGGTGTCTCGGGAGCAGCGTTAGCACATCGCGGGTGACGCCGGTCGCCGTCTTCGGGTTGGCGAAATTCCTCCACTGTCGCTCGTGCCTTCGCACGCGCCCGCGCCCGCGCCCGCCCCATCTGTTGCGTCTTCAGCGGCGGTCGCGTGCCGTTGATTAGTGCCAGCCGGGTGAGCAGCCGGCCTCCGGCCCCCGCAGGACCCCGGGAAATATCGGCGCTTGCTTTTACAACACCAGGTGTTTCATTGCGTGTTGTATCAGTTTCATGTTCTATACGGCAGTATGTCACATATTTCATACAACTCTTTGCGTGTGTGAATTATTCAAGCCCACAGCACCTTATTACTTTAAAGAATGCCTCCTACCAAGTTTTGATATGCAAGTTAAAATGTACAGTACATTCCATGTTTAGAAACGCGATTTATTGAATGTTTTATATGAAGCGGTTTTCGTCATAAGCGAACCCAAAGGGTGTGTGTGTACAGTACACATGCTGACGTACAGCACTCACCTGGAATCCTTCTGCGCCTGGAGCTCTGTTACACAACAGAGCAGGTGGAGGAGTGAGAACACAGCATTTTTATCTCAGGGGAAATGTCAACCCGATCAGATTGGGGAGGCCCAGGGTGGAAACCGTGCTTATACCCCCTACTCTTAGAGACAGCGTGTGGGACCCTAAATGACAAAGTAGTCACGACCTCTGTTTGACATCCCAACCACAAAATCGTATAGCACAGTGTCCCCACTCGCCACACAAGGACATCGGACATTGGTTTGGAAGATCTGATCCACGGGGAAGATCGCCACCTGCTGGTCCAGCAACACCACTTAAAGTAGTAAGCAGAGTTTGCTTCGAGTCTCAGTGCTGAACTGACCCAGCCCGTTTACCCTCTGTGGCCTGAACAGATCAGGCTTCAAGATGGAGAAGATACCGTTCATAGTATCGACAATCACTGTTTCATTTCCTCCCATTCTCGAAACACAGTTGGACTATTTCTGAGTTACACTGAGTAATGGAAGACAGGAATAGAATACATGTAGGATTATCTTATAGAACTGACAAAGTGTCATCGGAAAAAAGAAAACACAGACAGTGCACGTCAACGTAAAGTGGTTCGTCCTGCAAAAGTTTTATAACAAACGTCTTTTTCACTTTATACACAAAGACGCTTTGTAGCCTCTGTAGTTCTGTAGTTGCTTTCAGATTGACTCCGCTTGTGTATGGTCATCAAAGCCTCATTAATTAAGGTCGTGCTGACGTTTCAACCTGATGGTTCTTCTTGAAAGGCATTAGAAACGTGTCAGTTTGAGGAAAAATAACCTTGCAACTTTTAAAACATAAATCCCTCTGCATGTACGAACAACAATGAACAGATCGTTATTTATTGTGTTCAAAATACATTTCCCCCCCATTAGCATTACCGAGAAAGGCTGTTTTACATACACCATCGGCACTCTGTTATCTGTTCATATTTTTGTTAAGGAGTGTGTGGAAGGCAACGGGGGTCCTTAGAGCTGGTAACTGCCGCGCTTCAAACCGTTAAAAAGTGTCTGAAGGCAACACAAGATCCCAATGCCTCCAATGTTTAGGACCACACAAGACTGACCACTACCATTCACTCGCATTTCTGACGTATTTAACAATGAAAATACTGTATACCGCTGATTTCAGTCTACGTTGGTTGAAGCTTCACCTTTTGTGATTGGTTTACTGTATATTACAGTTGCCACCTGTTAACTGGTCTTCGTCCTCTCCAACAAATCATGACAGGAACTTGTTTGTTTTTTCAACGCACCACTGACATTTCCATTGTGAGTAACAGTGTCAGCTATTCTCATATACAGTATGTTCCGGCGGCAGCACAATAAAGTTATGGAGAGGAAAACCCGCGGTTACGCATAGAGACAAACATGAAGTCACAGAGGGCACGTTTTCATCAGATGAAGCGGGAACGGCTGCTTCTGTCAAGACGCTTCTTCATTTCACATTGAAATTTCTTCAAGTTATATTGTAAAAAAAAAAAATCGCATCTTGAAATTTAAAACGTTATTTTCATAGAAAATGGAGATCTCCACAAGTCAAAATGTATAAATCCACGGAATATGAATACAGGTAGGTATTATTGTGCACTTACAGTACCATTGAGAACGTGGGCGAAACAGTGGCTTGGACACAATGACCTGACTTGAGCCCTGATGTCCCCATCAGGCAATCGGACATTAGCGCTCTAATGTCCTCCTATCTTAAATCCATAGTATCATTATACAATCACCCAGTCCATTCTTTACCGAGACGTACACGTCCCTCCTTCTGCACATACAAATGCTGTGTGCTCCCTTATAACCGTGACTCTGCGACCACTTAATTAGTCGTGCTTTTTATATGTGTTATATGCTACGCGTATTCTAATTTTTGTTTCTCAAAGTGACACATTTGTGAGCCCATGGATAAGGGGTATAAGTCGATAAAGAAAAAAAATAACGATTTGATACCGGTACACCAATATCCACCCCATTCTCTTGCGCAGGTCGTCTGGAATACCCCTGCACTCCACCACGAGCCCGGAATCTGACACGGGCTGCGTGCGCGTGCCACTTTCCTTCATGAGGTTCGGATTCATCGTCTCCAGATGGGATCCGCTCACCCACACGGCCCTGATGACAAGAGTTCAAGGTCACAGATGACTTACTCTTTTTCTTTCAGCTCCGGTGCACGGATGTTAGAGACTAGAACGATTAAAAAATAATACAATCATGCAGAATACGAGCAGAAAGTTTCTGTGAATCACGACTTTTTCGAACCACTCCAAACGGTACCTCACACCTATTAAACATTAATAGCGTATAAAATGATGGAATGAGATTTTACATAAATGAGCAAGATAGTATACATTAAAAGTCAGCAAAGATAGAATAAATAAGACATTTACTTCAATATTGTTCGCAAAAAAAATAGATTTAGCTACAATTTGTAAATCTTTGTGAACTAAACTAAGTAGCGCAGTTAAAATAGCTTCAACATGAACAGTATATGTACAGGATGCAAGTGCATTATAATTTAAAAAGCACTAAATGAACATACTGTACATCACCAAAGCCTGGGCGATCTTGTCCTCGCGTCTCGTCTCGAGGTCCTGCCAGCGCGCGACGCTGCTCGGGTCAGTTCTGTCGCCTCCTGCTCGCGCTGCGCCCTTTTTCACCCAGAGCGCCGCGCGCGGGCAGGGGGGCGGGGGGAGCGAGAACGCCAGGACCTGCAGGGAAGCCTAATCCGACCACCCCTCCGTGCAAAACACGAAGCCTGCAATAAAGCATCCATCATAATATTGAAAAATAAAAAAAAAACACTCGCTCGTGTTTCCTTGTGGGGAACTGAAAACAGACCCCTATCAGATTTACAACACGCGACTCTGCTGTTTCACTCTGTGAATGTTGCCCCTTTTGCCTCTTGGAAATCTTGCATAAGCAGGTTGATAATAATAAAGTAATACAAAAAAATTTTGAGATTTTGAGATTGCTCAGTCTTAACAACCTATTTCGCGTAGTAAAAAGAAAATCACCGAGAATGGATCAAATTCCACCTCCGTCTATCCAAACACACTCGTTTACCACTATAAAAAACCATTGCTTACAGCCACAAAGAAACCAACACGTTCTATAAGCAATTTGCATTTGTTTCCACTGCTTTTCTTACACGTCCACCACTCAACAACCCTGCTGAGGACGTCTGTGCGCTTGCAGCTTTCTGTTAACTGCGCCTGCAGTTGAAAAAGTTTTTGTCGAGACTATCAAATGAAACCCACCACGAAACGAGTGCGTCGCTTTCCAGATGCATTTTTAAGGCCCGCTGACTTAGAGGTCGCGATTTTCAAAATGTTAGTTGCATAATTTAGCCAAGGAGGGGGGGGCCATCTGTTCTTTTGTTCCGGCGGCTCGTGCCGCTCTCGTGCGTCCTATCTGCTCACAAAAGCGCGCTCGGGGACAGGCTGCCCAAGAGCCACGAGACACCGCAGTTTTTGAAAGACGCGCCACTGAGCCCCCTGATCCAATGACAGCCCCGCCGCCCAGAGCCCTGCCCGCTACACAGCAGCTCCTCGCTCGGAGCTCGTTTCTATCTTCTCCGATTTCACCTCTAATCTGTCTTTTTCAACTATTAAACCCAGGCAAAAAAAAAAAAAGAGGAACAAGGAGCCATATGCACTGTAAGATATAACGGAATACTTTGGTGACAAGCTAACCCTGTGAGATGAAAACCCAACTGAACATGACGCCTTGGAGACTTGGGTGGACAGGGGTGTGGGGGTTGGGATGGGACCTGGGGGGAGGGGAGAGACGGGGGGCTCGTGTATGCGTTATACAGGACGCCATACAAACCTTTTTATGATTTGGTCAAAACTCCCCTTTGTTCCTAAAGTTACAGGACCAGATGTGAAACTCATTCAGCTTGGTTTTTGGCTTGGGTATTGTAATTCTGACAGATTGGGTTTTTTTTTTTCTTCTCGTCCAGGTTTTCATCGAGTCCTGGGAATGTCATTGGTTTAGTCCGCTGACGTGCGCAGTTAAGGATCTGCGATCTTTACTTCTATGAGGCCACAATAGCAAAACACTCGCTGTTTAGAAAAAACTGGACGAAAATGGGTCACATTAAAGCTTTTGCGTATGTAAGGGGAGCCTGTCCTTCGAGACGCGCAGGGCTGGAACAAAGGAAACCAACACTCCTTCTGGATACACGGAATAATACTCTTTCATGACACTTTAAAGATACAGTAAGCTTACGAGTTTACGAGTAGCGTTGCAAATTTGGCTGTATAATTTTTCTCTTTTCTATACACGATGCATGATTAATGAATAACCATTAACACTGACCATAATATAGCCTTAGAGTAAACACATTTTTCTTTCTTGTTTTAAGGCCATGAACAAAAAGAACAACGATAATAATAACAATAGCTTCAACATCACTGGGTAGCTTGTTCCAGATCCCCACTACCCTTTGTGTAAGAAGTGCCTCATGCTATCGGGTCTAACTGCGCTTTACAGTTTCTAATTGTGTTTCCTGGTTTGTCACTCACTGATCATTCTTCACTGGTCATTTTCTTGCGTGTTAACTCATTTATATTTCGTAATACTTTAGGAGCTTCCTTTTCATATGAATTCAAATGTTTTATAGGTAATATTACGAGTAAAAGATGCCGTATTTTTAATGGATACGATTGACACCATATCCCTGGACGCTCGAGGGATTCTGATGTGCATGCATAAAGCAGCAGAAAGAGCGATTCTGCAGACAATCATTTCGCTATTATTCCTTCATGAATTGCAATGGGGTCTTGAAGAGACCATCTGGGCCTCCGTGTATTTGGCTCGTGCCGTGCTCGTGTCTTGCAGGAGGCAGACACCGCGACCGCGAGCCTCTCTCCACTGGGATTCATTAACCCAGCTCCACAAATTCAAAAGACGCGCCCTGAGCGTTGGCGCTGGGGGTAAAGAGGGAGGCGAGACTCAAACGTGTTCGATAAAACCCAAAAGAGATTAAAAAAATTATACACTGCAGAAAAAGAATAAATTCTAGAAACGGCGGGACGCGTGCTTATACTGTATACATATGCTGTTAACGTCATAACCTCCAGACGAAAAATAACAATATATCAGGCAAACAAGCCGAAAATTTAGCCACGAAGCAAAGGGCTGAAAAGAGACGCAACACATCTCTGCAGAAAGGAAAAAACTCGGACGAGGTGTGGAGTAGCCTACCACAAAAAAGACGTTTCTTAGACCACTAGCATTCCTACGCCTTTGAAGACCTTAAAATTCTTAACTATTTTAGACACAGAATCGGAGCAGTATCTCCTTGTCTTGCTTCCAGCATTCGAGTGTTCAGGTACCGATCCACAACACACACTTTATCTGCGGAAGCGATGGACAGGATTGCAGTAAACATACTTTGCGGTAACTTAACGTCTGTTATTTTGTTCCTCTTTTTCGCACTATCGCTTGAAATATCGTTTGTCATTTAGGTTAAGAGCTTCCGGACACACTGTATATCCTAGGATTCAGACCCTTTCGATGGAGTCCCATTTTGTGAAAGGACACATTTTTCTAAACTTAGTATTTTATTCAAAGCTTGACTGTTGAAACTGAAGACTTCTAAGGGTAACATAGGGTACCCTAAAAGTCTGCAAAAACTAACAAGAAAAAAACGGAATATGCAGAATTCTTGATTATTTAAACAAAGTAACTCAATATTTTGTTGTGGAAGCATTTTTCACAGCAGCAGGCCTCACTGGGTAAGTATCTTCCACCTTTACACACTAGCCAGGTGCAATTGTTCCAACTCACGGACATTCACTTTCTTATTCTTAAGCAGCTCCAGTGTAGCTGAAACTTGAATTTTCACCCCCCCACATGATGCTGCACCACCACTGCTTGGCTGTAGGGATGGTGCAGACTGGAAGATGTGCTCCGTTGGGTCTATACCAAAGGTAACACTTCACATTTAGACCAAAAAGTTCTAACTGGGTCTCATCTGACTTACAGCGCCCTTTAACCTCATGTTTGCAGGATCACTCAACACCTGGGATTCGAGATGCTCTGCCACTCTGCCATACAGACCAGCTTTGTGCGTTGACCTGGGCATTTCTGTCTGACACACATTCTCACCCATCTCAGCCATCGAGCTCTGCAGCTCTTTCTCAAAGTTAGCACTGGCCTCACAGTGGTCTTCCTCACCACACTCCTCCTGGTCCAGCTGCTCAGTTTGGGGAGACAGCCTGATCAAAGGAAAGTGCCGAGGTGGTATAATACACCTTCCGTTTCTTGACTGTGCTCACAGAGATAATCACACTTCTGCTTACCTGTGCTATTCAAAGACCTTACCCCTCACTTGCTTTGAAAGCTCCTTATATCTTAGTGGTGGAGTCTTTGTTTGACATTGGCTACCTGCCTAAGGAACCTCATACAGACAGGCGGTTTTACTGCGACATAACAAGAACCACTATTGTTGCACACAAGCAGAAGCCACTCAATTAACTGTGTGGCTCATTGAGGTAATTGGTACACCTACATAGTTTAATTTGGGTTTGCCACAGCACAGGGTTTGGATACTTATGCTATCATGACTTTGCCAATTTTTCTTTCCTAAATAATAATTATCTCTTGACTTCTGCCTTTTTTCTTTTAATGCTACAAGGAAGACAAGGAAGAAGAAGATGCTACTAACCAGTCGGACGGGACAGCTTTGCTCCTTCAGCGGTGTGTACAGTGTAACGTGAAAGGACAAAGGTCGTGGGTCTAGGAGTTGCAGTAACTGAGTAAAATCAAGTTCGCCTAAAATGAAAAAAAAAAAACACAAACAAACTGACTATTCCAGTTCAAAACGGAGGCAATAAAAACAGACTCGTCGAGTTCATGTCTGATCTGATGTTTCCGTCTTCTTGCTCGTATTTGGACTTTATAAGGCCGTATTTGTTAAATGAGTACAATTAAATTTCGGTCGTGGATCATTCGCAGGCTTGTTTTAAAGAAAGTCAAAGTGATTGAAAACCTCCTATGTAGACGGGTAAGTTTAGGTGAAAAGTTTTTCACTTTCATTATACTGTAGGTGCGGAGTGGATCAGGACACAGACTGAATCGAGACTAAAAGTCCCAGCTCAACGGACAGAACTGCACGCATCTATTGTCCTCGGTGCGTAATGGGCGATAGCACATGAAAAACTAACAGGCTGCCGCAGTTATTCAGTTAGGTAAGAAATGTATTAGTCTTTCATCAACCCCTTGTGAGAATCCAGCTTCTCTCACTTGAAATCAGGTGGGGTAGTTGTATGTATTCTACATTCACGGTCAGTTTGGCACTTTTCAGAACGTTCCGACTGGCTCAGCAGAGCCACGCAAATTAGTGACTCAGATATAACTATGGCATTATAGTTAATATATGTAAACATGCATTATTTATTCAGAGTCGTCCTGAGCCCACATCACGACGGTCAAAACAACAGCAGGTCATTAGGTTTTTCTAGCGCCTTTGGTAGTTACTCTTACATTCGAATATACTACAGACATACTACAGGTATACATACATTATTAATGTAAAATGATATGAACCTTAAGAAATATGTAACCATCGCCCAATTTGAATACATTGGTAATATGAATACGGTTTCCTTTTAAAATGATTTTTTCAGAACGACTAAACTACATTCGGTGGGATAGGCATTGGAATGAAGTAATACATTGAAGGATTTTGGTTTTGATTTGATTTTTTCTTTTCACCTGGATAACTCGTGATTAAGAACACACGATCGCGGGTCCCCGCCCTCTGACCCGAGGCGCGGCGCTGGTTAGGAAGATCCTATACTGGATACACAAGCAGTCCTGTCAAAGAAGGGAAGGACTGGTCTTGTGACTATGTGCTGATTGTACTTCCCTTACCTGATTACAGTTCCTTGGTAAATAATATGTATAATTGACTTCTTTAGTTTGAGTCCGTTATGAACTTCAGTAAAATAACCACAGATTACTCAAAGTAACAATGCGTGAATGCACATTTCTTGAAAATGCTTTTTCTCGATTCCTGTACATCGAGACAGTCTTTTTATGTAAGAAAATGAATAATATTTCAGGTTTGTCTACAAATAAACCGTGTAGCATTTTCTAGCTACACGTTTTTCGCAACATACAGACCGATCGAGACAAGGAATGAATACATTCACCAGCGCAGATTTCCAGTGTGAAGTTAATGATTCCAGCGACATCAGTCAGAAAGGGGTCCCCATCTGTCATGCGACAGGGGCTCGTGCCAGTCTCGTGTCTCTAATTAAAGAGTCTTTCAAGCTAAATTATTCGCGCAAACGTTACCTCTTCTGAAGCACATCAGCAGCGATTTTTAAAAGAAAAGATTTTGGAGCGCTCATACCTGCTATCAGAATTTTAATACCCATAAGGTGACACATTTTAATTTTAAGTGTATTCGATTTCCCAGAACAACTACAGTTCTGCACTCTACGGAAATTCCAATTTTCGATTTGTGAAACGATTTGGAAAGTTCCACGCCCTGAAAGTAATATTATAATATTTGCATTTTCGTAGCAGAGCTCTAGAAGAGAAACTAACCCGGTGCCGTTCTTCTTAAATGGCCGTTTTCATTCTGGTTGACGGTGCTGACTCTCTCGGAGATGTTGAGAGTCTCCCATCTGGCCCCGCTCCTGTTGGATCGTGCCGGCACGAACAGAGTGCATTAATTATTAATTCACGTTAGAAACCGCTGCTTGCTACCACAAACTAAACCTTCTAAAATTACAAAGTCACATAAAGCGAAGACGAGGCGCAAAACGACCCGCCTCCCATACAAACACACAGCTCACACCAACATGGCCTGTGAATCCTCAGCACAAATAAAAAAAAAGTCTTAAAACAACATAAAAACTAACAAACAACTTCTTTCTTATGAAATTACTGTTTCAATGTCGGTGCTGAAGGTAAGAGCAGTAGCAGGACGCTTGCTGGTGTGTGCAGCTGTCTCAATCCGTGAGTCTCCAGCCCCACCCTGCCGTTTACGTCATACTCGCCCCTGGTTGCAAAGTGTAAAAACAATGTATTTTCTCTTTGTTGTGCTCGTACTTTTGGCAGATGTTTTATTGAAACGGCGTTGGTTTTGGCTTGGGAAGCCATTGTTCTTAATTTTGAACAGATAGGCTCCAGACCTTCAGCATGTGGGAATAATGGTATGTGTGCTCACATTGGACGACTGTACACTTCTCCACTATGCTTAAATCAACTCAAGAATTAATGCTTGAGGACGCGTCTTTAACAAAAGTCCTTACTCGTTTGATAGCTTGCTGCACCTATACAGTCATACACAATCACAGAAGAAGAAACAGGTTTAAGCAACTAATATTGGTTTGTGGTTATTATGAATATACAGTATGTTTCCGCCTCATTTAACCGAATAAAAATCTTTGTTACTAAAAAAGAGTTCCCTGTACCAAGGGTATTTAATAATGTGTAATGAAAACACATGCAAATACTGTATATAAAACTTCAGAACACAGGATGGAGTTTAATATAAGAGAATATACTTTAGATAGATAGATACTTTATTGATCCTGTGAGGGAAATTGCAGTGCAACAGCAGCTTAACACACACAACACAGCCACAGTGTAACGAATTATATAATAATAGTACAATACATACAATACAATACAATACAAGAGTTACTCACAGTCCGGACACACAAAGAACAAAGAACAAAGAACAAACTAGAACAGAGGTAAGTCATGTCTTGGTATTTTAATGGAGTGGAAGTCCTGAATCACAAAAGGCAAAAATGGGTAGTTAAAACTAGAGCATTTATAAAGAATAATGATAAAATCAGCAAATGAATTAAGATCAGTAAGGATTTTACTGCATTGCGCAGAACAGTATAAGATGACAGATTTTCTTACTGCTTGAATAAAGCAAACAGCTTTCAATAGACACCATAAGGCTCAACGTTATTTCAGAGATATAGGAGTTACAGGTAACAAAATGAAATATGTGTTACTCACGCCTGGCTTGTTTCCCCATATTCTGAGGTGCATTTCTGAAAGCATACAATAAGAGAAAAAGAGGAGCATGTTTCTGAGACTGGTTATCGACATTGGAAACACTGGTATCAATTGCCAGATTTTTCATTCATATTCAAAACAACTTTAAACTCCAAAATACTTTACCAATGGCCAAAAAAAGCTTCCAGTAGGCATGGGATCTATAGTTTTGAACACAATACTATATTTTCATGTCTGGAACATTTTGCAGCACTTTCTGTTTCTATCTGACTTAATACCTGAACAGGTGAATAGATACCTCTAAGGATATAAACACTTACACAGATCTGCAGAGAATTTCGATGTTTTGGCTTGAGAAGGGGTCATCTGGAGAGCAAACAGGAATAAAAACTGAAGAATCTAAGATAGGCTGTAAAAGAGAAGAACACGTTTTCTATGAAGCTATTTGAGCCAAGGACCTTACACAGACATTCCCTAAAAAAGCCATGGTATTGGCCACCACCTGATCTGCTTATAATCACCAATGTGGCTGCATCTCCTTGTTCCAGACTCCCACAGCCATGTGTAAAAAGTGCCTTGTGTTCTTGTTCTTAAATACATTCCCCAGCATTTTTCACTTGCAGTGATCTGGTTTGTACTTCACCATTGATTCTGCAGATGTTCAACTACTTCACTTTGACAGTGGTATTTAGGGTTTTGAATGCCTGAATCATAGACACTTTATAGGCACACAGAACACTTGTTCTTCTCAAATATATTATATCAGAGAATCATTTTTCTTCAATTCTGATTTAAATTATTCACTTTTAACTATATATCTAACATCCTAGGTGTATTTTTTATGACTTTCACTAGAGGAGAAAAACTATTTTGATGCACTTACTCATTTTATGGGTCATATACGAATTCTCCAATTACAGAACAACAACATGTCCTTTAGACTTTCATATCTCACTGGAGTCCTACAACCTAAGGTATTCTAATGTAACATTCAGTATGACATGACAGCAGATTAAAATTGTGCACACACAATTACACAATATACAACCAGCTTCTATCATGAGTCAAGGGTGAAAAAGGAAGGTCCAGCATCACTGAAATACTGAAAGGGTCCAAAAGCATATTTTAGGGACAATACTATTCTCAAGGTCAGAATAACAAGAAATACACTTTAATAATCAGAAGTACTCTTTAATAATCAAAACTCAAACCATACTAGAAATTGTGCACCCAGGATTTAAGCATTTTCAGTTTAATGACCGAGAGGGTAAATTGCTTCCAGTATGGACAAGTATTTGTGTGAAAGACAAACAGGAACAGAAATAATAAAATAGGTTTGGTTTTATACACTTGCCTTGTGCAGTGCTCGCCCAACCCCATTATTAATCAGTTCTGATGTACTGCTGCTTGTTTGACCTGTTTAAAATGCGCTGTGCACGGAGTGATTCACCATGCGATCTGCCAAATAAGACGATATAAGTCAATTGTATAAATATGAGTAAAAGAACTGTTGAGCAGCCTAAGACCCTCGGTAGTGCTGGGGAGGAAAAAACAAAACCTGCCCCTATTTACTTCGTCCAGTCCACAAATCTAGGTCAGACGTCATCGTGCATGTGAACTTAGCCAATATCATACCGATTTCAGCGTACCTTTTGGCTTGGGAAGCTATCTCTTTCGTCTTGCTGATATAGGTTAGCATCCGTGATCTCCTCATCTCTGAAAAAAAAACACAAATTGAATTGGCATGTGGTCTGAACTTTGAAAGTAACGAGCCTTTCTTGACACCCCACCAGAAACGTGAATGAATTCGTACGCACGACATTCTTACCCAGTCTGTCTTCCAAAGCCTCTTAAGAGTTTTTAATCTATACTCTATACTTTTAATCTACACAGAAAATCCCATTTACGACCTTTGAAGAACTGAAATATTAGTGTTTTTCCCCTTCGTGCGCTCAAATAATCACGTGGCATAACTCTTAGTTATTGCGTTCTGGCAGACTTTCCAGCGGCACAAGACATTCGACACGATATATCATATCATTCCCGTTAGGAGCTGTTGTTTTGTATAGATATGAATTTGAAAACAAAATCGGACATGTGGTTGCAAACACATCTTTGCAATTATCACGCTATTAAGCACACTGTCTGGCCTTTCACTCTTGAAGACACATTCGTGCCTATTTTCTTCATCCTCTGCATGGTAGCATTTAACCCAGTGACCAGCATGGATATAAGTCAATTTTACTACCATGCACGAATGAGATTTCTCTTACGATACCGCAGAATATATTTACCTTTGGACATTCAGACTCACGTGATCCGACGTTCTTTCTGCTTCAGTGTTCTACAGAGAACTGGCTTGCTGGTTTTGAGAAAAAATAATCAAAAGCTGTATAAGATACAACTACAAGGCAAATAACTTACAGTATACCACAGCACCGCCCTGTCAAATGTGGGATTCTTGCAGCCGCCAGCTAACAAGACCCTGAAATGGGAATTGGAAACTCCACCAGTGTTGAATTTTACGCGTCGCTGAACCTGGACAGGCGGCCCCATCTGCACGCCGAAATGCCGGCTCGTGCCGGTCTCATGTCGTTTTCCTAATTAATGCAATAAGGTCCGAAGTATGACCTCCACGGCATAATGAAAAAACAACAACAACAACAACAACAACAACGTATAATATTATTATTTTATTGTCGTTAGGGTACATAGCCTTTACAGCAAGCGCGAGCATAAATTAAAAAAAAAGTTGTTATTCGCATTTGGGTCTTGATTTAATAGCAGAATGTCCTTTCCCCCTTATTCTGACGGTATTAGCTGATTGAAGTATAATTCTATTCTCTAGCTTGTTATGCTATACTGCTAAAGGCTCCTGTCACATTTTCTATTGCTAAATTTCTATTTAGGAAACATACCTACTGCATTGAATCGTATGGTTTCGTAATGAACAATTACTATTCCATTATTTCCCCAGTACCACTCAAACTAATGCAAGCAGTCCCGTTTCACTGAAAATGACTGCAGAACAGACCTTCCAACGTTGCAGACCGGTGGCCTACATCGAATAGAAAGCAAACGATACGATTCGTGGCTGCGTCTTCAGCTTTTTTTAAAAAATAATGTTTCGCCCTGTCTCGTTTTATTTCCTGAAACGTCAACTACACTCCTCGTCAACAAAAAAAAACGAAAACTAATTCTGGTCTACCAACCGAGCAAAAACAAAACACCCAACAGAGCGAGGGTCCGTCCTCAAGGTTAAGAGAAATCTAAGTACCATCCCCCACCCTTAAATACCAAACCTTGTAATTCCCTCCGATGTATCCCAACCCCTTGAACAAAAGATTCTTGTCTATTCAGTTTACACAGATGGGGTACCCACGCCAAATTTGTTTAAAAGACAAAGGGAATTCTAACCGAAATCTTGATGTGAAAAACTTCGGGTACCCCAGTGCACGGCTATCTGGAGTTGCAGCGGCTGCTAATTGAAGGTCCCGCGGGGGATGAAGGCGCGTGCAGTTTGCTTGATATCGGTTTCACTCCTCTGCTTTGTTCCTAAGAAGCGGCTGCTAAGACGACGGAGCCCACAGCATCGAGCTGTTTCTCCACCAGAAAGAAGCAAAAACCCTTGAATACTCAAATCTCACATTTACCGCCCATCTCAAGTTCTTGTTCACTAACGTCTTATTGCATGCCATTTTTTAAAAAAAAATCTACATCTTAAATTTGAATTTGAGAAATATTGAATGTATTACTGGGATGCCGAAGATGCTTTCAGGTCTAGCTGATTAAACCATTTCGATATCCATGGACGTTTCCTTCATTTTAGTAACAGATTGGTGAGGCACAGCGTGCTCTTTCAGCTTGGGAAGCCGCTGAGAGGAATACATCGGTGGGTAACAGATCAGTGTGTTCAGAAGGGAAGATGTGAGCGTGCAGCTGGATAAACAATGTAAATCTAGCTTGAACGCTAAATCCTCGTCTTATTCCCCTTCGGTAAAAAGGATAAACAAAAAGTTAATATCTGATCAATTCTCTCAGGAAGCAGTAATTAAAATAAGAGCCAGACGGAAAATTAAAAAAAACCTATCCCTATAAGGTACACAGACACCCCCCTGACACAGCTAAAGAAGAGGTGTACAGATGGGATACTGACGCCGAATATTCTCTTAACAAAATTAAGCCAAACAGAACCTGCATTACAAAAAATATAAGGCAAATGACGACACAACTCGCGGAGCTGGCGATACACGCCCATCTGGCGCTGCTGGCTCGTGCCTGACGCGTGAGCCTCCGCTGAGCTCTTCCACAGCCCGAGCACGGTGCTGCGTTACTGTACGTCGAGCTGTACTATACCTAAACCTATATTATAGATAAACAGCAATTAACATCATTTTTATCATTCCCAAACTAATATTTTATTGCTCTCCGTTGAATTGCTTTTATCTTGAAATCACTGAAACGTACTGTGTACGTTTTCAAGATCTCGGGGTTTCTGAGTTACATTGAGGGGCACTTACACGGTCACCGATTTCAGGATATTGTTTGCACAATATTACTTTTCTCTTTTGGAAAATATAAAGAAAGAAATGCTTGTTGAGGCAAGTTCACCATTCCCCTCCTGACTCGTTTTGTTGAACCCCTCCCCCGCTGTTTCAATATCGCATAGGTGCACGTTTGTGCTTTCACAGACCTGCGACAAATACATAAATACAGTCGACGGGGATTTGAGGAGCAGATGTTGTCCCTGTATAGCGTGGCTTGGGAAGCTGCTTCATAATTTAAATAGATATTTTTTTAGAATAGGGGGAACCCATACCCTCACCCCCAGTCTTACCCCTCCTACCATTGTATCCCTCCCCCCACCCACCCCCAGTCCCATCAGTTACTACATTTGACACAAATCAATCATATGCATTAAAATACAACAATTTGTATATTGTTTTACGTTTTAATAAAGGGTGAACTCCTTAAACAGCTGAATAATATCCGTGGCCACTGTTAATTTCAGAATTTCATTGCACTGGTAACCTAACCTTCAGCAGGATTTTAAACTGCTTTATAGCGTGCAAACTACTTCGTAAATAAAATCAAACGCTTGAATTCAAAGGTCGCATTTCGTGTCATTGCATGAAGAAATTAAAAATAAGGGGGGCTAAATCTAAAGCATTGCTGATAATGCAATGCACAAAATGCTGATATATGTGATGTGTTTGATAATAAGTAGGCTTGGGGAAATGCAGATATACTGTATAAATGTTTAATTTCTTATAAGTCTATGTTGCGAATGTTTGAATGCCAACAGTGGTGGTACGCTCAGTGCCCCCACGAGACAGATGGTTATCTTAATGAATACAGTGCGCTGGCTGTTCTCTGGAGCGCTTTCAGCGTCTCCATTATTGCACAATAGCTGGTGGGCGTTCCTCAGCCGCCCAGATTGTGCATAAATACCGAGGGCCGCGACTCGGAAAAGCATTTCACATCAGAGACTCCTTGAGAGAGCACCTAGCCACGAGAACCATGACTCCTCACATCAGCTCCTCAGCCATGCCGGCTCACTCGGTAAAACTAACGGTCGCCAAGAGAAAGGAAGCCAGCGAGCTCAGAAAGGTAAAAACGCATTTAATGCACCGTGGTTTATTCAATCCAATTTAGTTTCTGTTTGCTCTTTTCGTGTGAGATTTTCATCCGTGGAATCAAATGTTAATCTCTAAATGTCTTTTTTCCCCCCCAGACTCTAAAGCCTTTGATGGAAAAGAGAAGACGTGCACGTATCAATGAAAGCCTCATCCAACTGAAGACCCTCATCCTGCCTTTAATCGGGAAAGATGTAAGTTTCTGTACAAATAATAACTTTTTTATTAAATTTACTGGGGAAAACAAGATAACCTATGAAGTCAGATGAACGACTATTACTCCAAAAACATGCAGAACCACTTCTTTATCTTTGATAAATCTCTAACCACTTTCTCATGATTCCTTTGCAGAATTCCCGGTACTCCAAGCTGGAGAAAGCTGATATCCTGGAAATGACCGTGAGGTTTCTCAGAGATCTACCCAGCACCCCAGTTCAAAGTGAGTATCTGTCTTCACCTGTTGCCTTTTCCGACACACCATCTCTTGAAATCGCAATAGTCATGTCTTGCAGAACATGTGGTTTAAATCCATTCTTCTGTAATATCCCTTTGTAGATCCGTCTTTTCCTTTTATGAAAATTACTGTACAAAGCAGCCCATTGTTTTAGACGTTAGATAAAAGAAAGGTGATCTATTTGCAATAATCAAAACGTCCCATATAAGATAGATTGTAATACCTGTATGGCGGTTATCTTTAGGTTTCGTATCAGTAAGAGAATTTTTACGAAATATATAAATCCCTCGATATATGTGACTCCTGTGGTAAGAAAAACAAACAGAATAATTAATGGAAATAATTCTTCTCTCCTAGGCCCATCAGACGGCTACAGAGAGGGTTACAAAGCGTGCCTTCACCGTGTATCCAGCCTGCTCCCCAAAACCGACCTCCTGGACAAGGACACGTGCCAGCGCCTGAATGAATACATCCAGCGGTCCATCGAGGCAGCAGCACCAGCGGGGCCGGCCTGTCTGAACTGCAGCGGACCGAACTCCCGAGCCTTCCCCCGGAGAGATCAAAGCGTCCTGCGCCTCAACCCCACGGGCGGCTCCAGACCCGAGTCAAACAGCAACGGTCCTTTACTAGACCGGCGGCAGCCAGTCCCGCAGGCCCCGAGTGCCAACATGTGGAGACCGTGGTAGCCTCCAAAACAAAATGGGCAAAAACGTGTGCGTCTTGTTGTTTGTCAAATATTTATACGTTGAACCTTACTTTAAACATGTAAATATAATGCGCGTGGTGGAGATTCATTGTAAAGTTCATCTGTACAAATGTGTGACGAATTACCGCCATTTGAAAGACGTTTTATTTGTGTTGCAGTTTACTGACTATGGAACGTTTTGGCCGTTGGAAATGTATAATTCGCGGTCAATTTTTCAAACCGGTTTTAGAAAGGTTTGGAAAACTGGTAAATTCTGCGAAATATTAATATTTAGTCCTCTTGGGGGTTAAATGAATGTGGGTTGTATAAAAAACACACCCTTGTAAAACCCAAAGGGTTATTCTGCGTATGTGTTGGGCACAGATGTTTTAAATGTGCTGGGCCTGTTATTGTTCAGGCGCTGTAATTTCAGTCTGTTCTGTTTAAGAAGGGGGTTGGTTTTGGGGGAGTACAAATAATATTTATTGTGACATAGACGCGAAATCCCCAAGCTTTCAGGAAATTTCAATAAAATGTGCTATCTTTGGGAAAAATGTGGTTGCCTTTCTTTCTGTTTCGCGCTCATAGCTGTCCTATTTGATGTGCCATGTTGCCCAGCAGCTTTGAATTGAGGTAAAAAGCGGGACGTTTTGTGAAAATAGGTAGGAATTGATCAAATACTTAGAAACATAAGTATATACTTGAATCTGGTATTAAGCAAACAAGCGAGATCTTATTTTTGCTCTTTCCATTTTTTCCCAACAATGTTAAGTATTCATTTAGATCAACAAAAATACGAAAAAAAAAACAAACAAACGATGACCAACCCGTTATATGTACTGACTCGTGCTCAGCCGCCAGTGCGGTAATTTATTGTATAATTGAAGGGTTTTCCATCCCTAAGGAAAGATGGAAAAGGATTAAGGCCTTTAGTGACACTCAGAGCTACAGTGCTTTTTGTATGGAGCCTTAGAAATTTACATAAAGCTTGAATACAAACCAGCTCGGGATGAATACAATCAGAATCTAACAATGATTATTCAATTTAGCGAAGCAAAACTGATGGCAACAATACAAGCTTACAAAGTCGGCTATAGCCCACAAGGCTTGGAAGATCTACAGGCGACGTCTACTACATTTTCAATTTGAGAATTGTTTGAGTGTGTCATTTAGATGCGCTAACGCTTCCAAATAATCTGAGGGATTTCATGACACACTCTTCATAGTGCTCAGCTGAGCGGACACACTGTAGGCCCTAGCTGCTGAAGTACCTGTAGGCAAAGCTACATCAGTCCTGGACAATAACATGCCACAGAGCCTCCAGTATCGCAGCGGGTCGGATGCGACACGTTAGATCTCTCCGGTTGAGGTACAGTATGCGCTTGATTTGTGCTTCATAGGAAAACGCATTTCTCGTTTTCTGATAAATCCAATGTGTTCCTCAGCCTTGGACAAGCAGTCATTTGGCACGCCCGCAACAAGAGCACGCACACACCTGACAGCAGAAAGCTGGGTTCCCCTTCAAGGAGTTAAATCTCTCAGGCCATTTGTAACACCAAGACAAGTCGCATCATTGCATCATTTTGCGGTTGTTGGCACGCAGAGCCGACTTGTGCCTCCCTCGCAGCCGAAACCTGCGGACTGTCTAGACTTGCTACAGTGCATCGGGGCTCTCCCGCCTACCAGCAATTTTGAGTTGACGAAGCAGTTTCGGTGAGCGTTTCCCAGGCGCGCCATGAGGCGAGAGCCGGCCATGAATCACTGCGCAGCGCTCGCTCCAGTCAAGGAGCGTGGGAAAGTGATCACAGCAGCCTGGTGCTGGCACGTTCGCGTGCTACAGGGCTGTAGCACAAGAGTTCAAGGAGAAGGGCGTCTATTTACATCGTGTGACTTCGGAGGAGAACATTCCTGTTAAAGCCTTCACTTCAAACAGTTACCGCCTGCGTCTATTACCTGTGTACGCACTTGCACAGAATTAAAAGGGCTAACATAATTGTATTACCAGATAATCTAAATCGTGGATGTTTTTTTATTTGGCTTGAATAAATGCAAAGTAGACAACATTTTGCTGTATTTTGTCAGCTTCAGATAATCGCAGCTGCAATCCGACTTTTCGCGCACGTGGTTGTTGTTTTCGGAGATATAGAAATTACTGTAGGTTATATATCTCTAAAGACTTGGATTTAGAGAGATAAAATCAAGAAAAACCTGGATTTAAAAGATTAAATTGGGCTTTCTTTGTATGTTTTCACGAAAGAAACATGCTTGTTCGAGCGACTGCCGTTCATCACACATGCTGAACGTTTACATATATTTCTATTTTCCTCAACTAAATAACCAGTTCTGATTAAAAGCTGATATAATAAGATATAATGTTAAGAAAAAACACACACATTAATTTCTAATGGGTTACTATCGGGTGCATTTCAAATCCCTACGAGTTAGTTGTTCAAACAAGTTCAAGGGAGGGCATTCAGTAATCATTATCTGCGCAATTAAATAAAACATCGTTCACAGGAGAAACCACAAAACCATAAAGAAACGTCTGACAACGTGAAACAATGCATTTGATCTGACGAGGGTGAGCACAAGCCCGTTTAAAGCCAGTTAAAAAACTCGCTGGGGTAGGGTTGATAACGCTAACACAACATACGCAATGGGTACGCAGAAATCGTCTTATTATTATTAAGATCAACAACCTTTTGTAAAATAATAACAAAGGAGCGACAGGACCATCGCAAAACAACAAGAACAGTGGCAAAGTCAGATAGTTCCCGAGACACGTGACGAAACCACTGTTTGCCCAGTGGCGCCGCTCTCGTGCGCCTTTTTACGCACAGAAAATTGTGTTGCAAGTTTATGTCCTGCGTTATTGTTGTTTTATTGAGTTATGCAGTTTAACATATTTTGAATGATACAGAATCTACACACTGACACAGAGAATTCAGTTTGACTCAAAAATATTTTGAACTGCTCAAACTTGATAGAACAACAGTAACACAGGACACAAGCTCGCGTTAACTGTACGTTACAGTGTCTTTTAGCAAAACCGAGTCTTAAGCTCACTTGGGGAGGAAAACAAATAATTTACTCAATGATCAGGAAACATTCGCTTTTATGCTGACATTTCTTCCAGTATTGGCCGTGGATATGCCACATAATACATGTTTTGTTCCAGAAAACTCTCTCTCACCCCAATTCGTATATTATTGTGCACGGGTTCGATTGGGGAACTGGGTCAGCGTGCGAACTGCAAAGCAACAAGTATGGGCTGGTCATAATCACTTAAAAAGTAGCGGTCTCTTCCAGAGTGCAATTACTGTATGCTCTGTACGTTCGTAAAGCATTATTATAAAGCATTTTTCGTATCCGGGATGCTAATAAATGTTGTGTTCTTGATCAGTAAGAGCGAAAGCTCGGGGAGTGGGGATTGTTGCAGACGCTCACAGGTCTAAGAGCACTTATCCAGAAGCAGTGATCCTGCCTTGCATCGGGTACCCAGGTTTACCGCTACAACAAACACGCAACTGAAACTGGAAAGTGTAACAGTTCATTGATATCGTTCACGACCAATCACCCACGATGTGTACAAACCTTAATCTAGCAGCGCTTTATACCGTATGATGTGATGTCAATGTCGCAACAGAAAAACACCTTTCGCGTTCAACATGTAAAAAACGTCTGCTTAAAATATGCAAGTTATTTTACGACACAGTACTTGGCTGCGTACGCAATAGCAGCACTGATTGGCCTTCGTTAAAACTCATTTCAACATCTTCTCTGCGAAAATGGTACTGAAAAACTGCTGCAGGCACTTTCTTAGTTTGCGAATTCGCGAATTCCCGCGCTGGTGACAGACTTTGCCTCTGTTCTTTGTCATTTTAACTGAATTTTGGCGTTTGCTGCCACACAGTGGATAGAATGGATGCTACACAGTTTCTTAAATATTGTGAAGAAAATCGAACACAATTTTGGGGGAAATAAATTTTAAGGGGAATGATTTATAATAATTATGTTATTAAAATATGTTAAAATCTAAGAACACACTTCTTTTTCTTTTTTTTTAAACAAGGGGTATGTCCTCAGTGTTTTATTGAAACTAGGTACTTTATTTGACGTTTTAACGCTGTCTTAAATTGAATACTCCATACTACGTTAAACATTGTGTTTAGCTAAGATTAGTTATTTAATTAGTTTAGTTATTTAATTAGTTATTCTCAGCCGTCAGAATCTCATATAAAGTACTAAATGTGGGAATTCTCCGAACAACGACCCAAGCACAAAAACCGCCTGCCACTGTATTTACAGAGATTCCGAAAAACCTTAAACTGCTTTTTTTATTGAATAGTCCTACATTACTGTCAATGGTCAAAGCAATAACGCCTTACACTATTTTTAATTACTTGGATTGATATCCCCATAAAGAAACAACGAAGAGTACGATTTCTTTAAGGACACCTTAATATATACAAAATATCTTAAGATCCCCGATTCCAAAATTTCTAGTTTTTAATCTCCAGCATGACTTTAAATATAACATTCAGACATGTTCGTCAACAGTTTCATTGCTTGAAGCCCCTGCCGTCTGAGCGGGCTGCCGGCTGCAGCGGTCCTGCAGTCTCGGTCTGTCTGCTCCGCTCTGCTCACTGTCTCATTCAGCACATTCTGCCGGCATTCCTTCCCTACACCTAGATTCGCTTACAGCCAAGGAAAGACAAAACCGGTCATGTCTGCCGCCAAACCGCTCTCCCTCTCCTCCTCCATCCAGATATGCAGGTAAGCTCTGACGCTTAACACAAAGTTATTTCATTTCATTTGTTTCGTCCGGCGAACCCAAAACAAGTAATCTACTGTACATGCCATTTCTGGTCGGGCCGATAATCCGCATTCACTTGAATTAGACTTTGCACCTTGGCTCTCCTGGAGCAGATAATTGCGCATTGAAAGAAATTCCATGTCCGTCGGGCTTTTAATTTTGATTATTAGTCCTTGTATGTTTGGGGATTTTGCACACCCACGACAGCGCACGTGAGACATAAACCCTCCTGGCATTTTGCATGACCTCAATACACGTCCTGTATATGTAAAAATGACAGCTGGGTGCGGACGTGTAAGATGCACTAAAAAAGCAAGGACATTTTAAGGGCAACATCAGTGTTTATTTAAGGGGATAGTGCGCGGCGCACATTTTTGAAAAATTACACGGAAAGGACATTTTTAGCCAAAACGTCTCGCTGGCAGGCTACATGAGGGGCCCTGAGTAAGCCACGACTGATTGTGATATCGTTTTATCATTTAACGTAGTACAGTTGCCGATTTCTTGGCCCGGCAAATATGTCTGCCTCTTTTAAAATTGTAACCGACTGCGTGTTTTCCGGGACGATTTATCCAGATTAAAAACTGCAGTGCAGTATGTGGTTTTAGGCTGCAGCGCTCAGACGTCATCGGGTTTTGCTGAACATGTCGGATGCAGAGAGCTGCTCGGAGGAGCGCTGTGAGGCTCTTAGGTTTATACCACCTACTGGTAGAAAGATGTATTACAACCGCCCCACCAGACGAGACACAACTATTCATGTTTTCGTGTTTAGTTGCTTACTCTCGGTATGGACCACGACCTACATACTGTAGGGCGTAAGACTTGATCTTCAACTGTTACACTTCATCCTTCCAATTAACATGCAATGTATGCGCCACAGCCACTGAAACTGGTACCATTCGGTTCTGTAGTGGGACAGAAAAAAACAAAACCCCCATTGCGATCCGAGTCCATGAGATAAAAGAACAGTCGTATGTTCTGCGAGTTTCTCACGAAACAAATCTTTCACTTTTGCTATTGGAATTAAATACAATTCTGTTTGACATATATGAAATCCTTTTATGTTCCAAAGTTTGTTCCACTCAAAGTCGAGCGCTTTAAACCAGGAACGAGCGACATGTTCTAGTTTGGGGTGTGCCGTGCTTCGGGGGCAGCTGTTTCCTGGAGCCTGGTGACGATCAAATGCTGTCGCCTTCTCTGAAGACAGTCATTGAAATGTTTTATGTGTATACACAGTAATGTTTTTATGGTTTAGGCAAAGTCCTCGTAGCCGAGCTGCAAGTGTACAACGACGACCTGAGAAGTACGATCCTGGAAATCTCGACGTCTGCGAGATTTCTAGGTCTCTTTAAAGCAGTTGCACCTGTAGCGTGGGGGAAGAGCTGTTAAATCTGTCCAGTCAAGCCACTCACCATCTGCTTTGGACTGAAAACTTACAGACACGCCTGTTATGACCAGGACTGGAGGCTCCCTCGTGTTTCAAAAGCGAAAGAAAGCGTTAGTTACAATTTAACAAGGAAGGGCTTGCAGGCTTCGTTATGTTTCCTTAGATGTACCTGTAAGCCTTTTCAGTTTTCGTTCTGCCCGTTCCGAATATTGGCGGTTCTGGTCCGGTCCGGTCTCCCAATGTTCGATGGACAGTAAGGGTAATAACGAGCGTCACCTTTCCTTGTCGAAGCAGGTGTCTGAAAACTCATCATAACCACGTTGTCAGAGAGTCGAGCTGCGAGAATTGGTCAAATAGCCGAGTTTTCATGGTGATGAAGTTTGTGGAGCGAAGGGCACTGCACTGTGCACCGAGCTCTGTCTCCACACGCCCTCTCCACAGGCACTCTCTGAACCCAGACACCTCGTCCGTAAAACGATGATAAAAATGACAGATTTTCTTCGCAGGGTTACTTGCTTTGTGCGTTACACGAGCCGCTTTAGGTAAGGAGATCAGTTTCCCATTTTTATGTTTTTATATATTAATTTAAAACCGTGGATTTCTCAGTGTCTGTACTGTAGCGACATCTACTTACAATTAACCGCGAGGACGACAGTCTGCGAAACACTTATAATCACCTGCTATTGAAATTAAAGGCTGGTATTTGTATGTTAATATAAATGGTTAACAATGGAAACCAATATAATGCAGTTTACGATAACCTTAATGTTATAGAAATCTCCCTGTACAATTATATCTGTATATGCTGTACTGTACTTAGCTAACAAAAACTATAAAATAACTAAAAATGTATCAGTCTACTTCTGTGACTGCTGTTCCAGCATTTTATGGTCTGGCTTTGGATCATATGGCCTGCAATATGCTTCCTGTCTCTGTTTTTGTGTGTTCCGGAACAACACTATATTTAGAATAGTGATCATCGAGGGTGTCTGAATTTCCACATTAGCCAAGTGTGCTGTTGCCTGAAGTGATGCATCAAGGGGACAAGCACCAGCAACCATGCATAAGATGATGTAAGGTGACATGCCTCAAACTTCTTTGCCACAACACAGTAGACTGAGTAAAGTGCCTAACTGAGTATGACTTTACTATCCTTGTAAATCAGGCCCATACCATGTACTGGACTACACACTGCTTGAGACAACTAGGACACTCCTGTGAAAAAAAAAAATTCCCTAATATGTTGGTATACAGTAGAAGTGTCTGCAGACTTACAGTGTTATATCCTCTCGAAGATTGTACTGTAGCAACTTTATTCCATCAGTTTTTGGCTCTTGAAAATTGAGACGATGAGCAGTGCCTGTTCCAGCTCTACATTTGCTGCTGTCAACACAAGTTATTTCATTTCTCTTCTATTTTGACAAGTCATTTTTGTGGAAGCTGTCCATTTGATATATTCTGCTATTAGTCAAAACTGTACCTTATTTTTAAACAGCTGGTACCTGTTGTCATTTTCCATTTTGCCAGTCCTCAAAAATGTGCTTGAAAACCACTGCAAGTTTTAACTAAAAATAAAATTAATGTTTGTCCTTTATTCATGCAAACAAAATAAGGGTGTTTTCATGTCGCCTTCATCACTGGCCAGCTGTAACAACATCTCCTGGAAGACAGACTAAGACACCTTAGGAGAATAGATCTGTCTCTGAGACTCAAAGAGAGTGCAGTAGTATAAAATGAAGACCTTCATAAAGTTTCTTAATCTGTGGCTGGTTTTACACATTGTTTTTAGTTTTAGTTCAGATTGGTTTTGTTACTCTCTCTATGAAAGCAACTGGACACCTCTGTCCTATACACTTTGTCATTGATGTATCTTTTTGTTATTTCTGCTCGTAACTCGTTTTGACATGACTTCATTGAATGGATCTGGTTGAATGTTTGACTGAATATCTATGTAGAAAGCTTCCCTTTAGGCAATGCTGACACACCTTATTCCAAAACGTTCCTATTTAGATGTCAGAAATGAATAATAATTGCTGGTTACCATGCTAGATTTGTCCCAGAGGATTTCATAGATCAAATAGAGCAAATATTTAGGTTTACCCTCAATTTTTGATATGTAAAAATATTGTAAGAAACAGCTTTTCTCCTAATTATTATTTTTTTAGGATGCACAAGTTTTCAAGTTACTGATCTAAAAATGCTATGTTGTTTTAATAAAAATTGTTGATTATGTGGTAAATAATTGGGTTACATATCTTGGTGTTCTCGGTTTCTCATTCCAGATTATGGTCTGAATTTTAATGTTCTTTCCTTGTTTTTTAGTTTGAATTCACTCAGAAAGGACCGTACGTTATCTTTCTTTCTTAGCTACTGTAGCTGCATGATAGAGAGAGCAGCAACAGGACTAATTCCTCTTTTATAAGAGAAATCTCACCCATATCAGAATTAGCATCTATTGCAAAACCTACAGTATGCAGGGCACACCACAGGCTCTGTGAACATTACTGGTGGAGCTCCTGTTTACAATGATGTACTGTTATATCAAAAGAACATTCTGTACCTCCTTGGTGACATCTGTGTTCACCACAAAAATCTTTCTTGGAACTAAGGGTTCTACAGGAAGAGAAAGTATTTCTAAGCAAAAAAGCTGAACAGTATTATAGGTCAATCTTCCTTCAGTAAAATCATCTTCTTTTACAAGGTCTTTTTTAACTTCAGAACTGTTGTAGATTCTACTTTCTTTGGACCAATGAGGTACTCCTGAAGAGCATATCATTGTCTAATATTTAAGTCAGACTGAGAATCATCCTATTAGATTAATAGGATTAAATTCTATATAAATTAGAGCAAAATCAGTCAAAGTTTTTATTGCTAAAAACATACAAAAAGACTGTCTTCTGTGAACATCGCAATGTCACAGATACAGGGAAGTGTTATAATGATCAGGGATTGACTAGAAATGATTTTGTCTACAAATAGAACATATAATGTAATAATATTCTTTCTGTTTGCTGGACTTTCTGTATCCTATGCTTAGGAAATAATCTATTCATGAAAACCGCAGCATTTCCATATAAAGAATGAACGGAAATCTGCAAATGGCGTTTTTCCTTTTTAAAAGGAAAAGGAGAGCATTTACGTAAACTAACACAGATGTTGGCAGATAGATTTCACAACAAGCTCTGCATGTACATCAGACAGCTTCAGTGTTGTAAATCTGATAGCAACTGCAGCTCAAACTGCACAGCAGCTTTGTTAAAGTCCACAGTACTGCACCATTTTTCAGCATAGAAATCAGAAGGCAAAACCACAGGCTATCATTTTTTTCACCATTTCCTGTCACTCTACCTCAGAAGGATTTCCCATGGCAACGACGGAGAAATGGCTCTTCTGATTGGTTCAGACACTGACTGTATGGCCTGACAATGAGTGGGAGGAAAGGGCTGGGCAGGTTTATGATCTGCACGAGGGTGGAGCCTATATGAGGCTAGGTCTGACACTTGCAGTGATGTGAATTATGAATGAAGCTGGCGGGGAAGTGCTAGTTTGTTCAACATCACTTTTTACTCCTCGCTCTTTCTGGTTCTGATAAGCTATCATAAGAGATTGTACTCGTTCACCATTCACAAGTAAAGGGAGATTCAGAATGCATGTCTTGGGTTCTCATCATCAGCTCAGCAGGTAACGTCGTTCTGTTCTGTGGCTCGTTGAATTAGCACAAATTCATTCATATGCGGTATGTTTTATTTCATTTCCTCATCTCATCTGAGAAACTAAAACATTGCTTTTCACCACTCAGAGGTTTTACAGAGGGCATGATTGTTTTAAAGTTGCTTTTCAGCTTATTGTTGTATTGTGGGGAGTGACTAATAGACACTTTTGATTACTGTAAGACAAGAGAAACAAACACGTATAAAATATCAGTCTTATGACCTTCTGTTAAATTTTCATTGGATTAGGTTCAACTTGGAAAAGATCAGAATTTTATGAATGGGCTACAATTAAAATATTACCCATAAGAAAGAAAAATGTTCAAAAAAAAGCATTTCTCAGTATTGCGTACTTATGTGTTCACATGCAGGTACTATATATTTGCATTATTCAATACAAGTCAATTTGATGATCTTGGTGTGGTTTTACAATTGTTTTTCAAGAACCTCACATGACAGAGGTGTTTGTTGGGTTGATGGGCGATCTGAACTCAGTGAGAGATTGAGCACGTGGTTAAAGAGATGTCAGGAAATGAAAGTGTGCGGGCAGGGGGGATTTTGGGTATGGGCACAGTGACATCACTTTGCTTTCTGACAAAGATGGAACAGCCGAGCCAAGCAGCAGATAAAACAGTCCAAACTATGATGAAATGCTTTTTCCTTCTCTAAACCAGGACCCTTTCAACATTTCAGACTGAAAGACTGCTGTCCTGAAAGCAGGTTTCAGTCCGATTGCACAACAAGCCTATCAGAAATCCCTTGTCACGCCTCATCCTGTACTTTTGATTTTAATTTCTTACATGCAGGCACAGAAGGGCCTTAATCAGAGATCTGTAACCTAAAACATCTTTGATCTTATGATCTTTATAGCAATAGTGTTGTTGCTAAGTGGAGGCTTAATTATTTGATTGATCTGTATGAAAAGTAACTTAATACTTCACAAGATTACTTTAGGGACCTGTAGTAGTTCAACAGATCAGAAGAGACACAAGTCTGTGTCTGTTGTAGGGGTGCATTTGATGTGGTACCACACATAAGCAGGAAGTTTTATTTACTTCCTGCTGAGTCATAGTAGTCTAAAAAAGCATGCAGTCTTACCATTTGCATGCAAAACGTGGAGCTGTCTGCATGTTAAAACGTAAAATTGAAAGCAATGATCAACAGACAAGGTTTATCTAAAGATGATATCATTAATAGCATATAAACCTCTCAGTGGGCTGGCACTTCGTATATTCAGGAGCTTCTCCATCCATATTGTGGCAAAACAGCTGAGTAAGTGTGGAAAACAGTTCAGAATGTAACCTGTGTGGCTAATCAACATATTACTGGCATGTTCATAAAGCTGTTAGGGAAATCACCTGCTGCATTTGCTAATTCCGGTATTAAATCCATGTGTCCTGAGTTAGGAGAAAAAAATAAAAAGGCTGGGAGGAGTTTTGTAGGCTGTCGGCCTGAGATTGTGCTTGAGATAGACAAAGAATTACTGAGAGGATATGACCAGCACTCAGCAGACATAGTTCTGGTATTGTTAGAATGAGAGCAAAGAGTAAATCGGAGCAAGTAATGAAAAAGCCTTATTTTCTGGAGATGAAATAATCATCAAGCCATTGCAGGCTTACTCTGTGCTTAGAGTTAGGGAAAGTGCATAGTATAATAGTGGAATCTAAACAAATAATGAAAACAAAATGCTAAAAAACATCCTAATCAGTCCTCTACCTAGAGAAGAAATGGTAAGGATATCACACTGTGTACTAAATTGTTCCTGAAGATATGAAAATAGTTAACTGGTTGTACCAAGTTATCATCGTCTGTCAGCTGTTTTCAAAGCTTTCAGCTGCCAAGCCAATATGTCTGGAACTCCTCTCCTCTTAGCATCAAAAAACGGAAACATCATTTATCAAATGTTATTGAACGCATTTTTCTGTAGCGACATGTAACTGAATTTCTACATAATATTTCTGTGCACACTCGTATTTTTCCAATTTGTACTGTACTTTGAGAAACCTGGCAATGAAGAGTGGTATACTGTACAAGAATATATTTGCAATACATTGTATTGTATTGAATGTGCATACACCATATAGCCAGACCTCAGCCTACGTCATTTGCATTTTCTAGATTACTCAGTGCTTAGACACTCTGTAAAAGTTCATTTGCCTTTGTCCCCATATGCAAACATTACATAAACATTGGTTTAGTACTTGTCAGTGTGGATCAAAGCAGACTGACATTTCTCCATTGAAAATGACTAAACATTGGGCCTCAATGACTCAACAAGTCAAAACACTTCCTCACAAATTAGGCAGATGGTGAATCTCTGCAGTAACATGTTTTTCAATAGTGCATGGTGTACCTTTGCTTAGCAAAAAATTGTTAATAGGAAAATGTTTTGAACAAAGGAGGTTCAGTTAGTTTCCACACTACAGACAAAATGTAAATCATTCACTTCGTTTTTGCTATAAAATGGATCAGCTACACATTTTGAAGAGAACTTACAGTGCCAACAGAAAGTCTTCACATCCTTTCCGATTGTGTGTGTGGCCTCACAGCTTGAAATCAAGACACATTAGATCAGGATATATTTGAACTTTATTCACACATTGTAACGCACAACCTCCAAGTGAAAAACAAATGTTGAAACGTTCAGAAACATAATAACAAATGAAAACCTAGTAAATTGGGTTGGATAAGTACACACTGTGCTTAGTAACAGCAATTGTAAATTAGCTCTGGGGCAAGCAATTGCCTTCCAAATCACACAACAAGCCAATTAGCCTCAATGTATAGTCAATTGTAGTGATTTTGTTGATTTAAAACTGATTTTATTCATAAAATATGGAGTGCTGTACCTGACTTTGACCAATGCAGACCTCAGAAACCTAGTTTTTGTCAGTACTGTGTACTAAAATGACCTCAGTGAACTCAATAATGCTTTTGATCCTGTGCAACAATAAACAAGTTATGCAGTTAGGAAAGTGCTGGCATCTTAAGACGTTGGGGATTTTTTAAACTGATGACTTATGGATCCCAGGGATGTCAATATCAGGGATTTTGTTGGGTATATGTTATATGTTGGCAATGCACATGTAAAACCTTGTAGATCTCTCTGCCAGGCACTTTCAGGAGGAGATGAGCAGTGTAAACACATATACAGTACAGTATATCTTGATGTGGCAGATTAATTTTAGTTATATCTTTTCATGGACCAAACATATAATCCACTTTTTGTTCTTCTGATTTCTGCTTCTGGAGCCTACAGGGGTATGAAGTTTTGGTGGTGATAGCAATTCGCAAGCCCTAAAATACCTGTGTCGATTCATAACTGGAAGGTTGTGGGTTCAAATGCCAGGTGGGACACTACTGTTGTATTTCTGAACAAGGTACTTCGATCAGATTGCTGAGTAAACTTCCCAGCTTTATAAATGTTTACAAACTCTTTTATCACTTTGGATAAAAGAATCTGCGAGATAAAAAAATACCAGCACTCCCTAGAATGGGCTTACTGTTTGCCCAGGCACAAATCACATCTCTTTCGCAATCCGTCCTGTTTTTGACCTGGCCCTGCTGAACAGCAGCATTGCCTTGTATATAGTTAACACACCCGCTTGGAAATAAGGCATAAGGCAAATACATAAGCACACAAACAGCAGAAAATGTAAGAAATGCTAAAGGCTGCAGATCGAGCCCTTTCAAAGCTGACTGTGAAGATCTGCCACTGACAGATCTGCCAGATACTGATTTGTTTATTGTGTCTGGCTGGGAAACGGCAGTCAGCTCTTGCTTGTCGGTGACAGCCCAGCCAGGCCTTGAGGAGAAACGCCAGTGGCACAAGTTCTGGAGTTCACCTTGTACTCAGGATGTGGAGTACTGTACATCCTGTTAGCCCAGTTTATCCACTCTTGCTTTGAGCAACACGGAGACGGAACTGTTGACAGATGTCTAAGCAGACACATTTTGTTTGGAGAATTTACAGAATTAAGGTTACATAACACACAGTCCACCACATCCACTTAAACTAGTCACAAAAACCACCATAAATGTCAATCAGTCCCGGTCCAGTTGAAATCACTCCTCCGTAATGAGTATATCTGGGAAAGTTTTACGTCAATGCAGTATGGACACATATGCATGACTAACCACGAAACAATTGTGCAACCATACATAATAAATGACAACTTCATCAATGTGATACCATACACTATTCTATCATGATGCCCTCTTATTTCTGTGCTGTCACTCTGTGAGTTCAGCTGACCCCTGAGCTGGAGTGCTTGACTTTGGTCAGATCGTGTTGATGAGCTGCTGTACCCTCTCTCTCTCACACAGGATCATGCGCCCCGATGATGCCAACATCGTGGGCAACGTCCATGGAGGAACAATTCTCAAAATGATCGAGGAGGCGGGGGGTATCATCAGCACTCGTCACTGCAACACCCAGCCTGGGGTAAGAGCCACCTCATCTCACGAGACACCCAGCAGCGTAGCCTCACTTTACGGGCTCCCCACCTGGGATGACTGGGTGTTAAACACGGAGTTCAAGCCTTCATTCCCATGCTGCATTCTGTTAGTTGTACTAGATACGACATCAGATTCACAATGAACGCAATGCACAAGAGGCACGATGTTGTCTCCCGGATTAAAATGTAGGACAGAAACTGATTTACTGCATTTAGTTATTCCTAAAGTGTAAGAAGACTGGCAAATAGATAGATTGGCTCCAACCCTTTCCCTAGCAAAAATATTAGTTGATGCAGCTACAGTTTCTGCTAAATATTGCATTTGCTGTTTTCGCAACAGTCATTAGGAGTGGAGAAACACTCATCTTCAGGGTCAAAGTGATCAAGTCGTGCAGATAAATATGAAGACACAATCTAAGCACCTAACTGCAATTACCATAGCTGTCTCTTCCTGCTTTAGGTGCTCATTAAGACACAAAACACCTGCTTGTATCACTTTCACTGTTTAAAGTGAGACTGTTTAAACACAAAACTGTCAGACTAAGGCACACAGATTAAGGACTTTGGTCCCGACTGCTGCTACTAATGTAACAATGGAGTCATATGACAGCTAATCCCTACTCACAATGCTGTCTGATTACAGGTTATATCATCTTAATGAGACATACTTTAATACACGTCTAACAGTCTGCGGCACCAATGCAACAGTCTGGGTTTCACTGAAAATTAAATCCTGCACCACCTTTACCCTGAAAGATTTTACCTTGTTTGTGCCTGAAACTAGCCCTGTCTTGTGCAATCTAACTGGTTGAACTGCAATGACGATGACAGAGATTCAGATATCAAGATTACCCTCTTCTTACAATATCAACATAAGATGAAGCAAGGGTGAATACTTACAGTATTCAACGCTAGATCCAAGAATTAAATCTAATTATACTAATGATGATACTGTCCGTAACAGAATGAACGCCTCTGATAATGAGTAACATTTAATAGTCAGTGATGAAACAATAATGACATCAGGTCCACTTTAATTATTAAGTGTCTTCCTGGGTAAAACAATGTCCTGACATGAATGTCATTACAAACAAGGATTTGACTACCTGGTGTGCTCACATCATTTGATTATCAAGGCACTGCATTACTGTATGTTGGGCATGTATGTTAAATTGCAGAAGCCAATTAATTTCTACTGTATTACAGGTTTTCTAGGTAGGTCAATAAATAAACACATAAAGGGTAAATAAATAAAGGAAATGAGCTGATACAGTTCTCAGGGTGTCCACTGGATGGCACTTCAGATTTAGGAATTTACCAACCAAGGAGCTGATATGCCCAGTTAATTTACGTTGACTTATTTTCCGATTCAGGAGAGTACAAGCAGGTTTGTGCAGACAAACACAGGGTGATCTGACAATTGGTATCTGAAGCACAACTTGTACTGCTATTCTGGGACATAAAATACACTTTCGCAAATAAAGAGGTTTAACTAAGTTCAGTAAATCTCTGAACATCTGTCTAACCCGGAAGCAGCCTGCTCAGGACGTTTGCAGCTCCCAGGAGCCCCTGAATTTCTCACGAAGCTCCCCAGCAGGCACTAGTCTCTGTCAGTGAGACACTGGGCGTGGATTTTCTGGAATGAGCGATTCAGTTCAGACCAGATACAATCAGCAGGGAGATCCTCATCTATGGCCGCGTCCGTCTCTTTCACCTGTCGGAATGAAGTGTCCCCGTGTTCTCTGGCTCCTCCCGTATCCCACAGGAGCGCAGCGTTGCCGCTCTGGCCCGTGTGGAACGCACGGACTTCCTGCACCCCATGTTCATCGGCGAGGTGGCACACGTGAGCGCGGAGATCACCTACACCTCCAAGCACTCCGTGGAAGTGCAGGTCATGGTCATGGCGGAGAACATCCTCACGGGTGAGTGTGGTGCTCACAGCTACTCTCCACCTCCGCCCACAGGGCTAAGTCTCTTCTCCAGCACGAGCGTTTCCTTTACAGGCTCAGTAGCTCGTGTAAAATTCTATACAGCAGCTCTTCCCCAAGTAGTTACCTTTACTCACAGGGATCAAGAAAATCTGCAGTAGCAGAAGGCCCGGTTGTCATGTCTTATCTGTCTATGTGGGTCTGCCTACCGTAATAAGAATGCCAACTGTGGTATTTCTTAGGCCGAATTGGTCCCAAAAAAAGTAAAGAATGAAAAGTTTTGGAGGTGTCACCCCCATGAGTTCATCTCTATTCTCGTCTCCCTCCAAAAAGCCAAAAGTCAAAGTCATTTCCTTGACCATCCTCTCCTTTTCCAACTTCTCATATTTGTTAAAAAAGATAATACATAGGATTAGGGAAGCCACCTAATGCACTAAAGCTACAGACTAACAGGATTAACTCTGGAAGGTGCTAATCAGCTATAACATGTCTCTTAAGGCATTGCAGTGCATGGATCCTTTGATGACATCAGTGTTTGGTTTGCTTATATTGCAAGTCAACTGTTTCTACCTTTAGCATCTGAGACCAAAAAGGTTACAAAGATGCAACTATTAGGGCTCCAAGTGCTATGTATAAATATATTATATATTTAATATATTTATAAAGTATCCGAAATAGGATACTAACCAACTGCTGCTGTAGATTAATTGTATATTTTTAACAAAACTCTCATCCTGATGCTAGAATGGCCCACAACCTCACTAAAACACTTTTAGAACTATTTATACAGTACCCCCATGAATTACATGTTAATAGAATACTTCCAGTGTAGTATAGGGTTGCAATTTAATGTCCTGATGGAGATTTTTGTGTTATATGTGAAGATATTGCAGGCTGTTACCCTCCAGTTTTCAGTTTTTTCTCATTCCTGCTCTATTATTTGTTTTGTAGCATTTATCAAATGAAATGGTCCTTTTGAAAATAACAGCATTTAATATCAAAAGGTTCTTAATACAGAGAAATTGCCTACTTTGAAAAATTCAGATTATCCGTTTGGTTTTCAAGTACTGTATATATGCTTTTAAAAGTGTACAAAATGCCCCAAGTTACATATATAATATCCATAACTATACTGCTCGACTATCAGATATACCAGGAGTGTAAGATAAGGAGCGCTTTCCTTTTGTTAGACGTATTATTACAGCAAAAGAAACAGAATAACTGCATGAGCTAAGAGTGCTGTGGGTTGACGAGATCAATTACACCACTAGGTGGAGCCAAATTTCAAATGAAGACCGTTACAACTTTCCGACACGATATGGACAGCAGATTATTTACTGTTTTCAATACTTTAAATTAGGCACTGTAATAGAATAGCTTCAAAGAAGTAGAATAATTAACAACAATAATTTAACACAAAATCTATTGGATTTCAGAAGAGTAGCACAACGGCTCAGCAAGTACAAAATCACAAGACCAAACGCAATGATGTAATGTACCTGCCGAGCTCACACTGATTATTGCTGACCTATAGCAACATGGCACGTGATTTCTTAAAGGCACCGGAGATCTTAAACTGCTAATAATAGATTTGCATGGGAAACTAGTTGCTTTTAAAGGACCAGGTTGAACGGTGCTAGACATTTCCTTTAATTTCCTTCAAATTGAGATAAAACTGTCTCACCTTCCCGTTGTTTCACAGAATAGTGTCACCTAGTGCTGTATTTTAAGAGGGTGGTATCAGAGATAAAACTACCAGTCATGTTTGAATAACAGCTGGGTAACAAAGGACAATAATCCTCCCTTTGTGGGTTGATCAGTACACCAGAACATGTTTCTAAAGTACTGTTAGCAGAGTCAAGACTTTTATACTAATTGTCCTCAACACCAGAATATTTATTCCAGAGACCACCCCAGAAGTCTCTACACGTTTGGGTGACTGGTAAAACATTAGAAATGAAGAAAAAAACAACAGTTTATTCCTGGCCTGAAAAACTAAATTCAGAAAGAAGGAAAACATAAAATGAGAATTCAGTAAAAAATCATATTTTGTCTGCTACAAGAGCTTGTATTTACACCTAAAAATACCCAAGGATGGACTTCTACAGTCTTGAAGGGTTATTGCATGTCTAAAAGTTAAAAAAACAGCAACCCAATTACATGTGTCGTGCATCAGAAGATGCTTGGCTTCCAACACTCTGATTAAACGCGGTCCTACTGTCCCGTGTTCGAATCTCTGTGGCACAGTTCAGGTGTCATGGGATGCTGAAACCAATACAGCACTTCCCTGGAAAGACGACAGAGAAAAAAGCTGGTGTCCCGAGACTCTGTTGCCACAGCAACCCTGTTGTCATATGGCAGCAGCTGGGTAGGAACAGTAGGGGGCGCAGTGAGGCAGTGCCTGGCACAGGGGGCACAGGAAAGACTTGTGGGATCCGTAGCACTGAGGTTAATGTGGCCAGCTGCTGGAAAGGGGGAAAAGCCAGGATGAATCCAATGCTTTTCCGCAGAGTATTATGTGGCTTTGCACTGAGCCACTAATCCCCCAGCAAGGAGCAAGGCCAGGGAATACTGCAGTGTGTAAGTGTGAAAAGGAACACCGGATCATTACAGTAAGTGACACTTAATACCAGCGCCAGGAGAAGACATGGAGGCTAGCCTGCTAATTAGCAGTTCTTAGACCCTGATAACCACACCTGGTCACTGAAGACCTGCTCACCTTCATGCATGTAATGGAAAATCAAAGAAACCTAATGGATCCTTTACAAAAACTATGTTTCCTATGGGATAAGACCATACCACTATACCACTTACACTTATATAGCTCTTTTCTGGACACTCCACTGAGAACACTTTACAGGTAATGAGGACTCCCCTCCACACCACCAATGTGCAGCCCCCACATGGATGATGCACCAGTACGCTCCCCACACACCAGCTCACAGTGTGGAGGAGAACAGAGTGATGAAGCCAGTTCATAGATGGGGATTATTAGGAGGCCAAAATTTGGTAAAGGCCAGTGGGAAAATATGGCCAAGACAATGGGTTAACACCCCTACTCTTTTCAAGAAATACCCTGATATTTTTAATGACCACAGAGAGTCAGGACCTTTGTTTTACATCTCATTCTATCAGAAAAGGAAGGCACCTTTTTTCCAGTATAGTATTCCCATTACAATGCTGGGGCATTAGGTTGAGCGCCCCCTGCTGGTCCTAGCTTTCCCAATAGGTCTCCAATCCAGGTAAAGCAAGTTATTGTTTAATAAAGAATCAATTAATATACAAGGCAATTTACTGCACAAGGGTGTCCCCTAGGGTCAGTGTGAATATGGAACAGTGAGAACTGGATTCAGGGAAAGGAAACATTCTGGATTTTGGAACTCATGTACTGCATGGTCTTACTGTTAATTAAATGGATGTCTTCTTCCAAGACACGCGAATGAAAGAGGGATCGTGCAAGTGAACCGGACTCTAACATGGTGTCCTTCATGAATACAAGCTGGGGAAGTGAGTGCATATGCTCTGAATCACCCAACAGCTTTCGTTCCAAAAATTCACAGAAAATCTACATGATCGTTTGCCACACTGTACTCCTGCACTGCCAGAAGTCATCCTTTCCAATACAAGCCATCTAGAATGGAGAAGAAATAGCCTGCTTAAAAGATTGCAGGCCGTTTTTATTACTGTGGGCTGCAGTAAATATGGGACAAACCAAGCCAGTTTAATGTGTTTCTGCCGTCATAATGTTGCTCATGAAAGTCACTCCTCTGATTTAAATAGCAGGTTCCTCGACAAAAGAAAGCATGCAATGTGGGATGCTCAGAAATATTTGGTTCCCTCTTTGCTGTTGATTTGTGGTCCTTTTTAACAGCTTGGCAGATAGCTCTGGGTCACACACTACCTGATTAATGTGTTTATCCCACGTGTGTGAGGTGTGTAACAATGAGCTGGCCTTGCCTGGGAATGGAAGGACTTAGGATGACCTTATTGTTGAAGTAGATTAACTCAGCCTGCTATAAAGTGATCTTTAACAATGGGCCCACATACACCTGGAAGATGCCACAGCTAACTGGCTCTACCAGTGCTTTAGTAATTGAAAAGCAATATTACTGCATCTTATTCAGAATAAGATATCAAGAGGAAAAAAAAAAATTCAGGAGTGGAATGTAACAACAGCCTGTTTCCTTCTACTAGCATATGTGAAATGAAGCTTTTTAAAATTAATTAAATTGCAAATCAAATAATTAAAATCCAGCTGGGTTACAGTGCAGTGTCATGAAAGAATCAGACAATTCGTTTCTGCTGACTTCTGCCTTACTGCACCTCCGTTCAGACGTACAGACTCACTGCTCCCCGGCTCTCTGCCTAGGTCACGCCTTCCCTTCCTGCCACAGGAGCCAGTGTCTACCCCCCGTCTGTGAGACAGAGCTGTCAGTCACACAACATGATCTGCACGGCTGAGCGCGACATGGCCTCAGTGGAACACTGTGCACACAGCGAGAGCAGAGAAAATACCATTGGCCTTGGACTGCATCCTTACAAGTCAACGCTTAAATCAGATCCGATGGGCCCTGCGCATGCTCATTTCCTTTGTGCTGTTGATGTACTTTTCCTGGGCGGGACAGCAGCCTTAAAGGTGGTGCTTCAGGAAATGTGTAAAGATCCAGGTTTATTATAGCATAGGTACCATGACAACAGCTAGTGAAAGTGCATGGCTCGAGATTCCAGACCAAGACTGAAAGCTGCAATTGCTTTTTTAGTATAAATAAATACTGGAATGATTGTAGTAATGTGATTTGTGTTTGTTAAATCGTAAAAAGTTAGAGGGGATTTTCAATGTGATTTGATGGAAAACACGGAAAGGTTTAAGTAGGATTATTATTAATTGGATTTTTTGTCCCAACTGTCCTGTATATAATGGATTTCAGAAGCAGGCTGCAAAGTGGCTTAATATCAGCACTGGGAGCTGGACTACCTGACCAGGAGCGGATTGT